CATGCACGAATGTCATGCACCGGGCCTCTAGTATGTAATATTTATTTATTTTGGCGAAATTACTACAGTGTTTTTTCTAACATATGGCCTATTCGCTAAAATTTGTTAAAAATAATAGTGAATTAATAACAAAAAATAACCTGTTACATTAATTATAAGCAATTCTTTGTTAAAAGCATTTAAAAATTAACAGGGTGTCAATTTTCACATATGACATAAGGACTGAACATTTTGTTTGTTAAATCCAAAGTCCATTAAATTGAAGTACACAAAATTAAGGGTTTACTGTACAAGATATAGCCAAGCAAGTGGGTAGCTAAGAGAAAGAGTCAAAAGGCATGTAGAGATAAAGCAGTCAAGAACGGCTACTTTATTTAGATATTAAAATCATCCAGCATGATACCAAGTTTAGTAAAGAGAAACAGGGTGAGTGAGGAGCCAAAATCTTTGCTGAATTAATGTAGAAGGCAGGGTGATTAACAGATAGTAGGATAGAGGATATTCAATGACAAACACTACCATTTTTTTAAAATATATTTTTATTGATTTTTTACAGAGAGGAAGGGGGAGAGATAGAGAGTCAGAAACATCGATGAGAGAGAAACATCGATCAGCCGCCCCCTGCACATCCCCCACTGGGGATGTGCCCGCAACCCAGGTACATGCCCCTGACCAGAATCGAACCCGGGACCTCTCAGTCCGCAGGCCGACGCTCCATCCACTGAGCCAAACCAGTTTCGGCAATCATAGAGCTTTTGAAGAAAAACACAAGGCATGTCTTCAAGACCTTGTGGAAGGTAAAGACTTTATTAAAAGGCTATAAAAATTGATAATCATAAAGGAAAACTGGTAAGTTAGCATACATTAAAATAAAGAATACCTACTAAAAGAATGAGAAAGTAAAAGAGTAAACTGTGTATAACTCATACTTCTGACAAAAAAAACTTATATTCATAGTATCAAAATGTCTATAAAAAACAATAAGCAAAGGTAGACGACCCAATTTAGAAAATAAGCAAAAGACTTTAATAGGTACTAACAAGTCAAGATTTTTTTTTAAATATGATCTACACTAATAAAAGAGAAAAATGGTAATTGGCGTACAACGCTACCCTTTTCATTGGCTAATCAGGGCTATATGCAAATTAACTGCCAACTAAGATGGCAGTTAACTGCCAACAAAAATGGTGGTTAATTTGCATATGTAGGCACAATGCAGGGAGGTGAAAGGGAAAGCAGGAAGAAGCCC